GAAATATCAGAGAATTGAGTTTTGTATAATGTTTGAGTGTCACTTTACATTTCGTTCGGTCTACAATTTAAATTTACAGAATAAATAAAAATAACAAGAAATATTTGAATCTATATGTTATGCTTTCGCATTCTGTACCCTTACTGAGTTAAAATCAACTGTAGGAGTGGATAAAAGTGTAGGCAAAAAATGAATGTCGATTTGAATAATATATAGGAAGTACTTCAAAGATGAAAAACAGCGAAGGTCGACTGAATGGCGTGGATGCGATGAATCCAACTCAATCGAATTTCATAATCAAAAATTGGGTAACATGAACGTGATTCGTGAAACGTTCATTTTACTCAATTTTTGAATGTATAACCTAAGTGGTCGGTGTTTTGACATCGATAAAGTTGCTGAGTTTGGGAGGCCGAGTAATTAAATAATTTAAGCGTTTTTGAAATGAGCGCTTCGTTGATAAGTGTTTTTAAATTTAAGTCCTGTTGCTATCCTACTTATCTTGTTTGATATTCTAATATACTTGTTGACATTTTGAAAATTATTTGAATCCACACTTGCTCATATTTATATAACCAACTAGGCACAAGAAGCAGACAATTTATACTTCAAGATCTGATGCGCTGAACCTAAATGAATAAAATACTCATGTCATACCGTACCGCTTCTCAAATGGTTAGTGTATTGTGGAATGTTCTTAGACTCTTGGGAGTTCCACTGAGTTTGGACAGTATGCTAAATGCATATACATTATTATAACTGTTAAATTTCGGTGTCTTCCCTCTACTAAGTTAGGCTCTTACTCCAAAGACACTAGGAATAAGCATGTTTTCAGACGTATCACACCAGTTAACCCCCCTAAAGGTGCAATTTTGTCGTAATATTGCTCAGGATGTTTCTCTAGAAGTGCATGTTTTCCTGAAAAAAATACTACCATGCCCTACAGTACTGCGTTACCGTACGATTCTGTAATGGGATAACGATCAGTGCAGCTAATTGTATATATCAAGCCGAGGTTCATGTAGATACTCTAAAAACAAAATTCACAAAATTTACATTTATTTATTATACAAAATGAATAAATATAAAAAGGACACCAAAGTGTCTACCCGTAGCAAAAAAAAAAGGTTTGAAAAACACTATAAAAACAGATGTACAAATAGAACTCAATCAAATTGATTGAGAGATGACAGTAGGAAATGAGACACATGCATTACCAAAGAATAAATCAATAGCACTATAGAATAGGTATATGCGAAGCATATTATCACAAGAATTGATGGAAGAAACACGGGACATCGCTGTTCATTGATCATCATCTCCAAACCAGGCTTTTTTATCCAGCACGGTTAACCTTCCATCACCCATTCGCAGCGCTATACCGCATCTTGTCCATTCAGTGCAAGCGACACCACGAGCTTTTCGTAGAAGGCGCCCTACCGCAGCATCAGCTCGCTCTTGAGAACATTCCTCTAATTTCAGCTTGATTTCTCGGGAAGAATCCCTGAATTGGTAAGGAATTAGCGTAGGGAAGCATATATACTCAATATCAGGAAGAATTATTTTCAAAATTAAACTAAAGTCAAAAATAGACTGATTATTAAAGGAACTAAAGTATGGTGGTCAGCATATTAGCAATAAAATACAAGTTGACAAATTGCTCTATCGAAATTCAGTTTGGAAAAA